GGCCTTCTGAGAGGTCTCCTGCCGAAGGTGCACAGGGCTGCATGGTCACACATTCTGAAAGTTTCCCAGAGCATATGGGTCACAACAGGAATTTCAGATTTGTGCCTTCTCAGGGGCCAAAGCCACCTTGCTCAGGGCCCAGATCATGGCACGACCTCAGGGACTTGTAGATGGTCTCGGGAACAGAGGACAAGCCAGGAGCTCTGGGAAGGAACAAACCCTGCCATTTCAGACCCTGGCCCGCAGGATTGGAACGTAACATACGTGTGTTTTTCCAGCCATTGAGGTGGTAATTTCTTCCGGAAGCCATAGCGCACAAGTACAGGCTTTAGTAATTGACTTAGAAGAGAAAACTACAACTTTCTAGAAAAACATTCCCTATGAAAAGCCTCAGACTCGCCAGCTTTCTTGAGCCTCAAGGTGGTATTCTTCTGTCCCTTTTCTTCTGTGTTGTCAGGCTACGAAAATCTCATTTACATGTTATCATTACCTACCCTCGGCGGGCTCTGCTTTGCAGCAGGCTGATTGCCAGGGGCTTTTTGGAATAAGGTAGCAAATAAACAATAACTTCCCTTATGATGAGCGATGCTGAGCACTTTTTTAATATGCTTTTGGGTCGTTCATATGTTTTCCTCAGAATGTTGTCTGTTCGGCTCACTTGCCCATCTTTTAATTGGATTGATCATTTTGTGGGTAAACTGCTTGAGTTCCCTGTGTATTCTGGTTACTAGTCTGATGCATTAAAAAAAAAAAAAGCAAAAAGAACAACAGAAAACTACTAGACAACAGTGAGAAGGTCTGTGCTGATGATAATGTATGTAGTAATAGCTCTGCCTTGACTAATACACACTGCATTCATACTGGGAAAAGCCATTTTGCATGCTATAAAGATGTACAGTAATTAGATAGCATTTGGGAAAAGGTTCGAAGACACAATAGTAGGGAGGACAGTGTCGATTCCAGAGACTGGCTAGGTGATTAGCAGGGGGTGTGGGAGGGGCTCAGGAAGAAAACATGTGACACATAGAGTGGACAAGGTTCTGCTGAGGGTGCCATCTATGGTAACGCCTTTGACTTGATTGACATGCCCTGCACGCCTGCTTCGAAAGCCCATCTTGTACACTGGACAGGGGAGAATGATTAAACGTAAATAAGAAGCCATACAATAACAGCTGTCGCCAGCCCCCAGGCTTGGCCTCGGGCTGTTCCGTGAGGACGTCGGCCACCCTAGCAGCCCACAGGATCTCTGTGCCACCCTGCGGCTTCCTTCCCATGCCAGGAGGCGAGCAGCATTCGTGTGCTCTTCCCCGCCTTCCGCAATGTCTACACTGCCATTCTGAAAGGAGCAGTTCCATAGTACCGTTGTGCTCTTGGAATATTAATTGCCCTCTTAACTGTGTACCATTTTGTTTATAATAAACTTAGATTGCTGTTTCTAATTTTAGTGACCGGTTTCCCTCTACAGGCCTCAGCATAATGAGGGCATAACGGTCTCCTGCTGGCTAAAGGGTTAATGTGCAGCTCTGGCTTCTCCCTCCCGGGAGGCTCAGGCTGCACAGGTGCTCTGCATTCCTTTCACAGCGGGTGAGGGCAGAGGCCGGGTTCTGAATGTGCAGTCAGTGTGCATTCATAATAACAGGCGAGCCGATGGCACATTCATGGCTGCTGCTCTGTGTAAATGAAAGGCTGGATGAAAGGCTGGGGG